TATCTAGCCTAGGGGGTGTGTCAAACATATTTGTATATGTTATTATAGGCTAGATAGGTGCATGCTCTTAGATGGTACAACACACTAGTAGAAACTCACCTTGTACCTCCCATTCTAGTCAATTCATTACTCTGAGATGAACACCTCGTGACATGCCTAGATGGACCATGTCGCAGCTAACGACAACATCCCCGCCCCTGCCAGCTACGCATACGACAACCCTCCTACTTTCTTGGGAATGCTAGAAGCAAATTTGCCCAAGGCATACCGCCCTATCCGCGCTATGTGCCTTATTCCAACATTCTTGGAGTTTGCACTACGGGAATACGACATGTATGGACTACTGTACGGAGTATCCAACGCGGGCTGTAGATGAACTGAGCAAGCTTGTTGACGCGTGGGGCCTGTCATAAATACCGGCAACTTCTAGGTCTATCATGGGGAATGGCTCCCTCACTTTCCATTGGGCGTTGGTTGTATGCGGTACTCGTTGCATGCATACAAGCACTTTGTCGACGCGAAAAACGTATCGTTGTTTCTTTAATATAAACTCAACTTCAGTATAATGAAAGCCAGCATGCTTGAATAAAATGGTGAACCTGATAAGCTCAACTGCTGGTTACGAAACTGTTTACCACTAGCCCCAATGGACAATTGCTCCTCAAGACCTATATCCCCCATACCCCCACCAAGGCTCAAAATTGGTTTCGGGGCACCCTTAGTAATCAGTGTACCTGAAAAAAAACCCTCTCTTAGGTTAAAATTTCGTCACCCTTTGAAAATCAGGTTAAATTTGTAAAAAACGATGAGTGCCCTTAATGTGCAAGGTACTAAAATTATCACCCTATCCACTGCACAGTAACTTGTAATTTTCCAGCTTTCTTAGCGTGTGTGAGGGACATTATCGGTCCTTTATTAAAATCATGCAGGAAGTTTGAGGCCAGCTGGAGCACATATAAGGGCGTGGTACATGGGTTGCGCTTTGCGTCGAGACCGCAACTCGGGTTGCATCACTGGCGAAATAACCCAACTAAATTCAGTCCAACCCATCTTTCACACGCCATGCGAGGTTCAACGCCCTCGTTAATCGGACAGGATTGCGCAACCTCGATTAGTTGCGCAACCCATGTACCGGGTGTAACTGTCCCTTAACCAAAATGACACACGTTCTGTAGTCCGAGGCGCGCTGTAGCAGGTGTGAGAGGCGTGACTGGCCCTTAGCCAAAATCACGCATGCAGTCCGACGCGAGCTGCAGCAGGTGTGAAGGGATTGACTGGCCCTTCCACAAAATCAAGCATGCAGTCCGACGTGAGCTGGAGCAGGTGTGAGGGGACTGACTGGCCCTTCGACAAAATCAAAGATGCAGTCCGACACGAGCTGGAGCAGATGTGAGGGGCCTGATGTCAAAACTTAACTTAGTATGTTATTGTAGACTGTATAGGTTTGTGCCTTAGAGGGTACAACACACTAGCCTCTATTACCTTATACTCTCTCATTCTAGCATTCTAACATGGTATCATGAGTAGGTTAGTTCCCGTTCGCCCACCAGCGCTTCCGCCCTAGGTCCTAGCCGCCCGTTCCCCCTAGCCAGCCCGTTCTCCTAGCCGGCCCGCCCCTAGTTGGCCGCTGGCCAGCGCCAGCCCCGTAGCCGGCCCCCGCGCCTGTCCCGTAGCTGCCCACGCCCTTTCCGTAGTCGGCCACGTGCCCGCCCCGTAGCCGATCCTCGCACTTGTCCCATAGCCGGCCCCGCGCCCGTCTCGTAGCCGGCCCTGCCCCCGTCCAGTAGCCGGCCCGCGCCCGTCCCGTCACCGGCCTGCGCCCGTCCCGTAGCCGGCCCGCGCCCGTCCCGTAGCCGGCCCGCGCCCATCCCATAACTGGCCCGCGCCCGTCCCATAGCCGGCCTTGCACCCGCCCCGTAGCCGGCCCCCGCGCCCGTTCCGTAGCCGGCCCCGCACCCATCCCGTAGCCGGCCCTGCGCCTGCCCCGTAGCCGGCCCCCGCGCCCGTCCCGTAGCCGGCCCTGCGCCCGACCGGTAGCCAGCCCACGCCCATCCCGTCACCGGCCCGCGCCCATCCCGTAGCCGGCCCCCCCGCGCCCGTCCCGTGGCCGTCCCGCGCCCGTCCCGTGGCCGGCCCGCGCCCGTCCCGTAGCCGGCCCAGCGCCCGCCCCGTAGCCGCCCCCCGCGCCCGTCCCGTCGTCGGCCCGCGCTCGTCCCGTGGCCGGCCCACGTCGGACCGTTCTGCACGCCCGGCCCCGTCACCCAGCTGCCCCTGACGTGCAGCCGGCCCCTGCACTGCGCTGCACCGCACTCTACCGCGCAGCACCGCCCTGCACCGCACAGTACCGCATTGCACCGCTCTGCACTACACTGCACTGCTCAGCACCGCACTGCACCGCACTGCGCCGCGCTGTACCGCACTGTACCGCACTGCCTCAAACTGCACCGCCCTGCACCGCCACGCACTACGCTGTCTTGCACTGCACCGCTGCTTCATCGCCCCTGATGGCGGACTCTGTGCTACGCTTTGACATGGAGGGTCAGCCGATCGATTTCGACACATGGCTCGTCGACCTCCGCCGTCAGCTCACTGGCCAGCGGCAGGACAGCCACTCCTTGGCTGTCCACATCGACGGTACGCTCCCCTGCCCTGACCCCCCTACTGAGCTGCCCGCTGACCCCATGACTGCTGATCGTGAGTCCGCTGCCGCTGCTGCCCTTGCCCGTGCAGTCTGGTTGTCGCGTGACGCTGTTGCACAGCTCGCAATCAGTCATGCCCTTCCCCTGTCTGAGCGTCCCCGCTTTAGGTCGGTCAGGACCGCGCAGGAGTTCCTAGAGGCTGTTACTTTGCGCTATTCCACCCCATCCTTTGCCTCCGTCGGTCGCCTGATCCTGCCCCCGCTTTTGCCTGATCTCGCGTCTTTCCTCACTGTCGCTGACCTAGCCGCCCACTTGCGCACGCTAGACTCGACCTAGCACTCTGCCTGCACCGAGGCCCAGCTCCGTGTGTTCCATCCCCCCCTCTGCACTACCCTCTACCTGCTTGCCACCTGCCTCCCTGACCGCCTTGCTAGATAACATGCCTAGGAGGGTGTAGGTGGTGATCAAGGCTAAGTGTCGGTTGACTAGGTACTAGTTTTGCTAGTAACTAGTTTGCTGCCTGTCCCCGGTACAAATTGTCCGGATGTGCTGTTATTAAATGTTGTCATCTTGAAGGACCATGAAATATACTACTCTGGTTTTAGGAGATTTCAGTGAGTGCTCTAACTGCTCCTCTCTATGTGTATGGCTACAATGAATTAAGGCTTAATGTTTATAGCATACAGCTCGTCAAAATGTAAAAATATGCTAAACATGTGGACAATTGTTTCCGCCACTGTACTCCCTCGACTTCTCCACAGCTTTTCTTCAGGGCAGCCTACACGAGCAGGTCTACCTGCGCCGCCCTTAGGGCTTTTATTGGTACCTTCCCTCCTGGGACTCAGTGGCTCTTGCGGCGTCCAGTCTACGGCCTGCGACAGGCGCCCCGTGAGTGGCACGACACGCTACGTGCTACCCTAGCTGACCTGCAGTTCTTTCCGTCCTCGGCCGGCCCCTCGCTCTTCGTTCATGCTGGCCAGACTCTGTTCTACATCCTGGTCTACGTAGACGACCCGATCTTTGCTACAGCAGACAGAGACGCGCTGGCCTCCGTGAAGGCTGAGCTACTGAGGCGACACACCTGCACTGACCTAGGAGAGCTGCGCCGCTACCTTGGCTTGCAGATCTCTAGGGACAGAGCAGCGCGCACCATCACTCTTACATAGTCACACTTGGTGCGCCAGGTCCTTAAGAGGTTCAGTCTTCAGTTCTCCTCCGCACAGCCCACACCTCTACCTGTAGACCACAGGCTCTCAGCTCCAGTTCCCGAGGAGTCAGTAGAGCCCAGTGGTCCTTACGCAGAGCTAGTGGGTTGCCTCATATACCTGATGACTTGCACTCGTCCAGATATCGCATACCATCTCAGCATCCTGGCTAGCTTTGTGGCCACCGGCAGACACCGACCACAGCACTGGTCAGCCACTAAGAGGGTTCTGCGTTATCTAGCAAGTACATCGGGCATGGGGTTAGTGCTGGGAGGACACAGGCCAGTGGTCCTTGCTGGGCACACAGACGCTTCGTGGGCAGACGACGCTGAGACCCTCAGGTCCTCCCAGGGCTACTGCTTTAGCCTTGGTTCAGGTGCCATCTCGTGGAGGTCCACTCGTTCCTCGTCTGTTGCCCAGTCTAGCTGTGAGGCTGAGATCTACGCTGGTGCCATGGCGGCACAGGAGCTCTGCTGGCTGACCTTTTTGCTCACCGACTTAGGTGAGCGGCCTAGCTCTGCCCCGGTTTTGTACGCTGACAACAGGGCCATGATCCTCCTGTGTCAGGAGCCTCGACTTGAGGGCAGAGCGAAGCATATTCAGCTGCGGTACTTCCTCCTGCGCAAGCTACAGCAGCGTCGCTAGGCCAGCGTAGTACACTTGGCCTCCGGTACCAACACAGTTGATATCTTTACGAAGGCGCTTGCGCCTAAAGATCATCAGCGGCACTGCTTGCAATTAGGTCTAGTCCCTGTTGACTCTCACTTGCTAGGCCCTTGATTGTGTACGGCTTTCTATTTATGCCTTCCAGTCTGGCCTTGTGGCCTCTCCCAGTGGCTGGATTAGTAGTGCCGCCCTGGCCTTGCTCTTGCCTTGGTCTGTACTCGTTTGACTGGTCTTTAGACCCTTGCCTCAGAGGCTGGACTGGTAGTGCCGCCCTGAGCTGCTTGTCCGATTGTTAGGCACTGCCCCTATATAGTCTAAGGGGTGTGTCAAAACATAACTTAGTATGTTATTGTAGACTGAATAGGTTTGTGCCTTAGAGGGTACAACACCATAGCCTATATTCCCTTGTATTCTCTCATTCTAGTCATTCTAGCATTCTAGCACCTGATTGGCCCTTCGCCAAAATCACACATGCAATGCGACGCCAGCTGGACATAGAAACTTGTCGAATCTGCAATCTACACATTTGACTAAGGGTCAAGAAAAAAATGCCCTTACAAAATCAGGGTGACCCCCACCCCACCACCCATATATTGTCATGTAAGGTAAACCCTTAAGGACTTATCTAATCATGAGGATTCAACTCAACAGGTGTGGCATTTGAATGCCTAGTGTCATTTGTGGATAGCGGAACCTAATGCTCGCGGAAACCCCCAGTCGATGCAGATAGTTGCGCTCCCAGGAGCATCGAGTCACGACTCACGACCTACACACCGTACGTGGACACGAGGTCAGACATTCGGTTCGCCCATATACGGTAATGGCTGGCTGGACTCTTCCCCATAGCGCATCCCTCGCCGTACGCTTACTTACCTGCTTTCATTTTTTGCCACACAATAGTTTCTCTGAACCCCTCCCTGCTTCAACTGCTGCTGGTGCTGCTGCTGCTGCCTCACACAGAGGACTCACCAACCGGGAGCAGCAGCACCTCCTCACAACCTCCTTTTCCAAAACCCCTTCTCCTCCTTTTCCCCCTGCACCTCCTTTTCCTCCTTTTCCTTTCCCCCACCTCCTTCAACTCTACCTCCCCTTTTCTCCCCCTCCTCCCCCATTCCTCCGCCACTCCTCCCCCAACTTCCCCACCCTCTCACTCCGCACAGCTCCCTCACCACCCCCCCCCCCCCCCTTCAAGCCCTCCCCCGCCTATCCCTCTCCCCAGCTAAAGCCCACTTGGTCTGAAACGCCTCGTCAGTGCAGCAGAGCATAGAAGCAAGGGAGGGCAGCGGGGAGACACCCAGCGCCTGCAGGCAGCTGTAGCGTGGCTGGATGCGGCGGTGCAGGCTGTAGCCGAAGAAGTGGGGGAAGGCGGTGGCGTCTGCGAGGGGGCGCGCCATGGTGTCTGTGAGGAAGGCGCACTTAGAGTGGACGTTGTCCGGACTGGAGCAGTTGGGGAGGGAAAGGGGGGGGAAAAGGGAAGGGAGAAGAGAGCGGGGGGGAAGGGGGGGGAGAGGGGGAAGGAGGGAGGGGGCGAGGGAGGGGGAGGGAGGTGTGCTGAAAGTATATTTGAGTAGCATGAGAGGATAGGGACGAGCTGTGGGAGTGCTTCCCCTGCATCTCTCCTTCTCATCCCTCGTTCCGTCACTAAACACAGCCACATGCCCAATAACATCGCCAACTACATTCCATTCCTCTTGCCCCACAACCCCCTGTCAGCTCCATTCTGGCATCCCCACCCCCCACTATCCCCTCCAGGCACACGCCACGCGCACCTGAGCAGCAGCAGCGTGGGGAAGAGCACAAGCATGCGCCTGACGTCCTCCTCCAAAAACCCCAGCGTGCGCAGCGAGCAGTAGTTGCGGTGCAGCAGGGGCGGCGAGAGGCACAGCACGTTGGGCTGGCGCGGGAGCATGGCGGCCAGCTGCTGGGGCGCTAGGCCCACGGTGTGCGTGAGGAAGAGCAGCTTCGGCCGCAGCGTGCGCGGCACCGACTGGGTCAGGACCTGGGGGTGAGGGGAGGGAGCAGGATGTGGAAAGGAGTTGGGGTGGTGCTGGGTGAGGAGGAGCAACTCAGGGTTCAGCGTGCGCGGCACCGACTGGGTCAGTACCTGCAGGTGAGGGGGGAGGATGTGGGAAGGCGGTGGGGTGGGGTGGGGTGGGGTGGTGGTGAGGGGTTGGGATGTGAGGTGATGCCATGCCCAGGCAGTGAGACGAGTAGACTCTTTCCTTCGCTCTAATATGCGTGCTCCGATAAGCGGAAGGCCTAATTATGTGGGTATGTGCCTGGTAGAGCAGAGTAGACAAGAGCATGGCATGGCGTGGGATGGTATGGCACGGTGTGGGATGGTGTGGGATGATATGGGCTGGTGTGGGATGGCATGGGCCGCCATGGGATGGCATCACAGGGAATGGGTTTTACCTGCGGTGCTGAGGTGACCAGTTTGAGCAGCTGTGGCGGTGTGAGCAGCAGATGCTCTGAGAGGAATGCAATGGCCGGCAACAGCTTGCTCTCCATGCTGCCATGGTGGGCGATGGAGGATAAAGAGACCCGAGAAGTAGAAGGGCATGAGAAAACAGGACGAAAGAAGGGCAGGAGAGGGATACAAATGGGCCTATTTGCAAGGAATAACCAGGCAGTGCCACAAAAACTACCCAGGCGCCCAGCCTTGGAGGTATCTACCTGCAGGCTAGCAGCGAGGGGCATCGGCGCAGCATGGCACCGAGCAGGGGCGGAGTGAGCCCCGGGAGAGCAGCGCAGAGCGCAGCCACCTTGGGGCGCAGGTTGGCGCGCAGGGAGCAGCCCAGCAGCTTGGGGTAGGCGCGGATGATGCGGGGGATGGCGGGCGGGGGGAGGGAGAGGTGGTGGCAGAGGAAGGAGGTGAGCGCGATGACATTGGCCTGGGAAAGATGGGCGGAAGGTGAGGGGGGGATGGGTGAGAGGGAATGTGCAGGGAAGAGAGGCGAGGAGGAAGGGGGTTAATGTAGAGGGGGGGGAACAAGAGGGGAAAGAGACGAAGAAAGGGGACGGGGAGGGGAAGCATGGGAGGGTGGGGTGGTGGAGAAGGGAGAGGGCAGAGCGGGGTGGTGAGTTATGATGGGGGAATGAACGGTGTACATGTAGCAACCGGAGAGCGGAACTGCGTGTGGCATGTGCAGTTTGTGATTCAGCACAGCATGTGACTCCGTTGGGCTTGGGCCACACGGGACAAGGAAATCAGGGTAATGAAGAGAAGGAATGAAAGGGCAGAGCATGCGCTGGCGTGTATTCATAGCATGTCAAGGCATGGGATAAAATGTCACTGCACTGCAGCACCCACATGCACTGCTCTCCACCCACATGCACTGCTCTCCACCCACATGCACTGCTCTCCACCCACATGCACTGCTCTCCACCCACATGCACTGCTCTCCACCCACATGCACTGCTCTCCACCCACATGCACTGCTCTCCACCCACATGCACTGCTCTCCACCCACATGCACTGCTCTCCAACCACATGCACTGCTCTCCACCCACATGCACTGCCTTGCCAAGTATGGGCGGGTACACTTCCACTAGCTTGCCAATGTCAACACCCTGACAGAGTGAAAGAGGGCGGGGGTGGGCGAATGGGAGGGGGGGTAGTGGGGGGACGGAGGGAGGAAAGAGAGAGAGAGAGATAATTGCCGGATTGAAAGTGCAGGCGGGTTTCTGTGAGGAGTGTAGTGTACAAGGTGGGGGGTGTCGTGACTGCAGCAAGTGCATGTGATAGATAGGTATGAGCAGGGATCAACATGACTGGGACGACAGACTATGCCCACACTCTATTATTAAGAACCATCAGTGGCATGAGCCATGGAAAGATGAGCCCATGGCATGATGAGCCCATGGCATGATGAGCCCATGGCATGATGAGCCCATGGCTTGGCATCCAAATCTGAACACTGATCACCGCAGCATGCCATACAGAGTGAGAGACGGAGAGTGACGGGAATGAGTGAGAGCGTTAAGAAGGGGGTGAGAGTGCGGCAATGCGCCATAGCATGGGTTCCATGGCCATGCACGTAGCACAGCCAGCGGCATGTTCTCGCAAAGTGATATTTCAAACACTGTTGGAGGACAAGAGAAGAAAGAGCAAAACAAGGAACGGAGAGAATGACATCTCACCTCAAACACGGTGTGAATGCAGTGCAGCAAGAAAGAGGAGGAGAGCGACTGACTGACAGTGCAGCAGTGCGCCATGAGGTGCGTGGCGTGCACGTGCAGCAGCGGCAGTGGCATGTCTTGGAGCCATGAGATCTCACCTCAAACACCACAAGCAAAGAGGGGGAGGAGGAAAAAGCAGAGAGAGCAACTGACAGTGCAGCAGTGCGCCATGAGGTGCGTGGCGTGCGCGTGCAGCAGCGCCAGCGGCATGTCGAGGAAGCGCGGGCAGCCCACGAGCACGGCGGCCAGGAAGCGGGGGCGCACGCCGATGCTCTGCAGGAACTGCAGCTTGGCCACCAGCTCGGAGAGTGACACCTGCCGCCGCTCCAGCAGGGATGCCACTGCTGCGGGCTGTAGGGGGAGGGGGGGGATGGGAGTGAGGAGAGAGCGTGGGCGCACACCGATGCTCTGCAGGGACTGCAGCTTCGCCACCAGCTCCGACAGTGACACCAGCCGCCGCTCCAGGGGGGGATGCCATGCCACTGCTGCGGGCTGTTGGGTGGGAGGGAGAGAGGGAGGGCGTAGGAAGGGGGGTGGGGGGGGGAGTGAGAAGAGGGAGTCGCCGATGCTCTGCAGGAGGTACTGGAGCTTGGCCACCAGCCCGGATAGCGACACCTGCCGCCGCTCCGCAGCGACGCCACTGCTGGCCTTGGCAAGTAGACTTCTGATTGTTTCCGATCCGCTCCTCCCGTCGTTTCCGCCGCTCCTGAACTCCCGAAACATGGGACGGGAGCTCAGTTCGTCTTGATGCTACAGTGGTCACTTGCCACACGGACAGGAGTGCACTCGCTGCCCGGAACGAAATTAACCGCACATGCGACCCCGACAAAACTGCAAATTGGCAAACTGCAAAATTGCGACAATCACAAACTTCGTGAATCCAACAACCATCGCCACAGCACAATCCAGAGTTTGGATTGGGTTGTCCGAGAGTTTGCATCATAGGTTTTCTGTGATTGGCTGTGTGGTGTGTTTCCCTATAGTTTTGCAATGTCGCTTGCTCCTGGGATACTTCTTCGCCAGCTCGCATTGGGCAGCCAGTCAGGTTCTTTTTTTGTGACCAGACTATTCGTATTTCGCCCCGAAATTCCGCTCCTCTCCCATGCTTTGTTTCTACAGTGGTCACTTGCCACACAGACGGTTTCTGCGAAGTGTGTGCGAACACCACTGTGCGACGGGTTTCCACCTTCTCCGCTCCTGTCCCATCACTCCCTCCGTTTGGAAACTACTTGCCACACGCCCCGAGTGTGTGTGTGGGCGGTACGTTTGCAGGGGGTCTTCTCCAGAAGCGGTACCGCGATCCGTGGCAGGTAGCCCTGAAGGAGGGGGTGTTGCCGGTGTGCACTCCACACCTACGGATGAGTGGTGTTGCCGGTGTGCACTCCACACCTACGGATGAGTGGTGTTGCCAGTGTGCACTCCACAACTACGGATGAGTGGTGTTGCCGGTGTGCACTCCACACCTACGGATGAGTGGTGTTGCCGGTGTGCACTCCACACCTGCAGATGAGGGGTGTTGCCGGTGTGCACTCCACACCTGCAGATGAGTGGTGTTGCCGGTGTGCACTCCACACCTGCAGATGAGTGGTGTTGCCGGTGTGCACTCCACACCTACGGATGAGTGGTGTTGCCAGTGTGCACTCCACACCTACGGATGAGTGGTGTTGCCGGTGTGCACTCCACACCTACGGATGAGTGGTGTTGCCGGTGTGCACTCCACACCTACGGATGAGTGGTGTTGCCGGTGTGCACTCCACACCTGCAGATGAGGGGTGTTGCCGGTGTGCACTCCACACCTGCGGATGAGTGGTGTTGCCGGTGTGCACTCCACACCTGCAGATGAGTGGTGTTGCCGGTGTGCACTCCACACCTACGGATGAGTGGTGTTGCCAGTGTGCACTCCACACCTACGGATGAGTGGTGTTGCCAGTGTGCACTCCACACCTACGGATGAGTGGTGTTGCCGGTGTGCACTCCACACCTACGGATGAGTGGTGTTGCCGGTGTGCACTCCACACCTGCAGATGAGGGGTGTTGCCGGTGTGCACTCCACACCTGCGGATGAGTGGTGTTGCCGGTGTGCACTCCACACCTGCAGATGAGTGGTGTTGCCGGTGTGCACTCCACACCTACGGATGAGTGGTGTTGCCAGTGTGCACTCCACACCTACGGATGAGTGGTGTTGCCGGTGTGCACTCCACACCTACGGATGAGTGGTGTTGCCGGTGTGCACTCCACACCTGCAGATGAGGGGTGTTGCCGGTGTGCACTCCACACCTGCGGATGAGTGGTGTTGCCGGTGTGCACTCCACACCTGCAGATGAGTGGTGTTGCCGGTGTGCACTCCACACCTACGGATGAGTGGTGTTGCCAGTGTGCACTCCACACCTACGGATGAGTGGTGTTGCCGGTGTGCACTCCACACCTACGGATGAGTGGTGTTGCCGGTGTGCACTCCACACCTGCAGATGAGGGGTGTTGCCGGTGTGCACTCCACACCTGCGGATGAGTGGTGTTGCCGGTGTGCACTCCACACCTGCAGATGAGTGGTGTTGCCGGTGTGCACTCCACACCTACGGATGAGTGGTGTTGCCAGTGTGCACTCCACACCTACGGATGAGTGGTGTTGCCGGTGTGCACTCCACACCTACGGATGAGTGGTGTTGCCGGTGTGCACTCCACACCTACGGATGAGTGGTGTTGCCGGTGTGCACTCCACACCTGCAGATGAGGGGTGTTGCCGGTGTGCACTCCACACCTGCGGATGAGTGGTGTTGCCGGTGTGCACTCCACACCTGCAGATGAGTGGTGTTGCCGGTGTGCACTCCACACCTACGGATGAGTGGTGTTGCCAGTGTGCACTCCACACCTACGGATGAGTGGTGTTGCCAGTGTGCACTCCACACCTACGGATGAGTGGTGTTGCCGGTGTGCACTCCACACCTACGGATGAGTGGTGTTGCCGGTGTGCACTCCACACCTGCAGATGAGGGGTGTTGCCGGTGTGCACTCCACACCTGCGGATGAGTGGTGTTGCCGGTGTGCACTCCACACCTGCAGATGAGTGGTGTTGCCGGTGTGCACTCCACACCTACGGATGAGTGGTGTTGCCAGTGTGCACTCCACACCTACGGATGAGTGGTGTTGCCGGTGTGCACTCCACACCTACGGATGAGTGGTGTTGCCGGTGTGCACTCCACACCTGCAGATGAGGGGTGTTGCCGGTGTGCACTCCACACCTGCGGATGAGTGGTGTTGCCGGTGTGCACTCCACACCTGCAGATGAGTGGTGTTGCCGGTGTGCACTCCACACCTACGGATGAGTGGTGTTGCCAGTGTGCACTCCACACCTACGGATGAGTGGTGTTGCCGGTGTGCACTCCACACCTACGGATGAGTGGTGTTGCCGGTGTGCACTCCACACCTACGGATGAGTGGTGTTGCCGGTGTGCACTCCACACCTGCAGATGAGGGGTGTTGCCGGTGTGCACTCCACACCTGCGGATGAGTGGTGTTGCCGGTGTGCACTCCACACCTGCAGATGAGTGGTGTTGCCGGTGTGCACTCCACACCTACGGATGAGTGGTGTTGCCAGTGTGCACTCCACACCTACGGATGAGTGGTGTTGCCAGTGTGCACTCCACACCTACGGATGAGTGGTGTTGCCGGTGTGCACTCCACACCTACGGATGAGTGGTGTTGCCGGTGTGCACTCCACACCTGCAGATGAGGGGTGTTGCCGGTGTGCACTCCACACCTGCGGATGAGTGGTGTTGCCGGTGTGCACTCCACACCTGCGGATGAGTGGTGTTGCCGGTGTGCACTCCACACCTGCAGATGAGTGGTGTTGCCGGTGTGCACTCCACACCTGCAGATGAGTGGTGTTGCCGGTGTGCACTCCACACCTGCGGATGAGTGGTGTTGCCGGTGTGCACTCCACACCTGCGGATGAGTGGTGTTGCCGGTGTGCACTCCACACCTGCGGATGAGTGGTGTTGCCGGTGTGCACTCCACACCTGCAGATGAGTGGTGTTGCCGGTGTGCACTCCACATCTGCAGATGAGTGGTGTTGCCGGTGTGCGTGTGCAAGTGCACACCACCACAAGGCATGGGCGCTCACCTGCACGCCCAGGTTCACGAGCGTGACCGCGATGCGGGGCAGCCCCTCCCTCCCTCCTGCACAAGCATGAAAGCGTCGCATCCTCTATTTCACAAGTGTGCGTACATGTGCATCCATGGGCTCTCACCTGCACGCACGACCAGGTTCACGAGATTGACGACGATGCGTGACAGCCCCTGCACCACCATTGAAAGGGTTGCACTCTCTGTCTGCAAGATGCGTGCGTGTGCGCGTGTGTGCGTGTGACTATGCACGAATGTGTGCACAGGTGCTCACTCACCTGCACTCCCAGGTTCACGAGCATGACGACGATGCGCGGCAGCCCCTGCACCTGCAGCGAGTCCGCCACTAGCGAGGACAGCGACGCGGCCATGGGCAGGTTGAGGCGGTACGACACCCAGTCGCAGCGCCGCGCCTCTGCTAGCAGCGACTGCACCGTTCGCGGCATGCTGCCCGCCACCTGGTGGCGGGGGGGGGGGAGAAGAAGGGGCGTGGGTAGGGAAGTTGGGAGAGGTAGAAGGGGGCGGATTCATGTGCATGCGTGCATGTTCTTGTGTGCACGTCAGTTTCTGTGAGTGTGTTTCCATATGTGTGCATACTAAGAAAGTGGGGAGAGCAGGAAGGGAAGGGCAATCCCATGGGCAGGTTGAGGCATTACAACACCCAGTCGCAGTGCTGTGCCAGCCATCTTCCTTGTGCTCCCTTGAGTATCACTAACTTAACTGACTGTACCGCTGCTCTTGTTTCTCCCATCTTCTTTGTGCTCCCTTGAAGGTAGCTTTTGAACGGAAGAGTGCGAGAGAGAAAGGAGAGGGGAGAGGGAGAGAGGGGCGGAGAGGGTGAGAAAGAGAGGGTGGGGGGTACAGAGAGTACAGAGAGTGAGAGCGAAAGGGGGAAGGGATTGTTTGAGAGAGAAGGTGAAGGGGGGGGGAGGGGGAGAGTGAGGGAGCATACCTGTGCAGCTATGGAGGGCGCGAGGCCCTCAGATGCTAGGTGCAGGGAGAGGAGGTCTCGAACCAGAGTAGAGGGGCAGCTGGGACTGGCGCGGGCAGCACGGTGGGATGGGGCGTCGCTATTCTACAGCCGAGACAGGGGAGCGGTGGGTGGGGGGGGATGAAGAGGGAGAGGGTGTGGGGGGGTGGGGGGAAAGAGGAGAAAGAGGAGGGTGAGCAGATGCGAGCGAGGCAGCAAGGCAGCAAGCCAGAACTTGAGCTGGTTAAGTGACTAGCCTGCTGTATGTCAGCGTTGTACAGTTGCCTCCCCTGGCCCTCGTCGTCCTGTGGCCTTTGAAAGAGCTTCTTCTTTGCCCTGCTCTTTCCCCAGAACACTCCTACCTCCCTCTTCACTTTCTCACACCTGTAACTCTTACCCCCCTCCTCTCGCCCCCCTCCCCCGTTGCTCCCACTCCGCCCATCTCACTCACCTCTTTCTCACACTCGTCTGAATTCTGCTCCCCCTCCGCATCCTCCTCCTCCTCGCTTGCTCTCGTCTCCTCGTCACCACCTGCACTCACTGCCATGCTGCCAGCTTCCCTCCCCTCCCTCCCCTCCCTCCCCTCCCTCCCCTCCCTCCCCTCCGTCCCCTCCGATACCTTCCCCATGCCTATCACCCGTCCTCGTTCTCTCCCTTCTTCCATAGTCTCCCCACGTTTCCGCCCCGTCCCCTTCCCCACTGTTTTCCTCTCCGCCCCACCTCCCCTACTTCCCTCACGCTCCCCCCCCGTCTGCAGCAACCCTCCTGCCGTTTCCCCCTCCGCCCCATCGTGCATGGCAACCGCCCTCACCACTGCTTCTTCCACCCCCTTCCCCTCCGCTTCCGCCTCCCCCTCCGCCTCCGCCTCCCCCTCCGACTCCGCCTCTACCACCAGGTCTCTCCGCCTCTGTCTCCCCCTGCGTCGCGTCTGGGGCGCGTCCAGAGCGGGCTCCGCCCCAGCGCGCATGGTGACTGCGCCCACCACTGCCTCCGCCACCCCCTCCGCCTCCACCTCCACCACCAGGTCTCTCCTCCTCTGCCTCCGCCTACGCCTCCGCATCTCCTCCTCGCGCCCCGCCTCCCTCGCCAGCCGCCCGCCCGCCATCACTCCCCCCACCACCGCCTCCGCTGCAGTCGCGGCAGCACCGGAAGGGGTGGCGGAAGGGTTGGCGGAGGGGCTGGCGGAAAGTCTGGCGGAAGGGCTAGCGGAATGGCCCGCTCCCTCGTTCACAACAGCAGCGGGGGATCCAGAGGACGGTCGCGTGGCGTTCCGCGCTTCCTTCCGCGGCTGCGGCGGCGTATCTGCCGGCGGGTAATCGGCGCGCAGGCATGCCTCCGCCGCAAGGTCCGTCGCGCGCAGACGGCGGACGCGGATTCGGCCGGCTGGCGCTGCCCATCCGTCCCCCAGGAACAACCCGCACGAAAGCGTTTCGGAGGTTGCGCCAGCCCGCCACGTCAGCAGTATTTCCCCGCTGCACGAGCGGAGAGCGCAGCGGGGGAAGGGACGCGCGGGCAGGGGGGCTGCGGGCAGACTGAGCGGGGGATTGGGCGCAAGAGTGAAAGCACGGATAGATGGCGTGAAGTTGAGAGGCATGACGCCATACCGCATTGCGGCCCGCTGCCGCTGCTAGAGGCGCGGAAAACGGTCGGGTCGTGGGGTGGCAGTGCAACAGCAGTAGGAGGCCGACGAGGCGGAATCATCCAGTCGGGTCGTAGTAGGCGGGTCCATTACAGTACGTTGTGCGCGTATTGCATAGCTAGCCAATCCGTTCACAAACCAACACATGCGTCCATATCGATTTTGTTGGGTTGCGCTTGACTGACCAGAAATTCGGGTGGTGTGGAAGGGAATGGGGGATTCTTGGGAATACCACCCGCCCATAATCTTTTTCGCTAACACAATATGGTACATTACATCTCCCATTGTAGGGAAACTAGCAAAACTTACAAAACAAGTGGGTGGTATAATACATGTTGACCGCACTTTGCACGATCTTGAATAGGACCATTTCTATACTCTACAAGCTCAAAACGAGATCCATATCATCCTCTTCTTCCTGCTCTTGCATGGTAGAACAGGCACCCATGTTTCCTCCATCCATGATGTGCAACTGTGTGGGGATAGTAGTGGTGCCTTCCTGCTTAGCCCTAGCTTGGAGGACGGAATGGGGCATATTTAGTGGATGCGAGAAACGCAGGCCATTTGAGAAATGCACGTCGAGAGAGGCAGACGTGGTGACAGCAGCAGCAGCAGCAGCAGCAGCAGCAGCAGCAGCAGCAGCAGCAGCAGCAGCAGCAGCAGAACGCCCTCTAGCCAGTGGTAGGATTGGAGCTGAAACTACTGATCCACCAGCGTCGCTCACACCAGCCTCCACCACACCCACCATGCCCGTTGCCCCATCGCCATTCTCCTCAGCTTCAGCAGCAACATTCAGATCGAATGCCACAGGGCGCCGCTCCTGCCGTTGCTCTCCAGTGCTCCCCCCCTCAGCAAAACAGCCTCTCGCCAAACCACCGTGACCACTTTCTCTTGCCCACTTCTCTGTCCGAGTCCCTGCTGCTTTCCCGTGCTGCATCTTTACCACCTGTGCCATGGCCCTGGCGATCGCCAGCCCAGCAGCGTCAACCTCGTTAGTAGCACCCTCGATACTAGCACGAGCGCGCACATTCCTCTCACTGTACCCTGCTCCAGCGCCGCCGCCACCATAACCCAAAGGAAGCGCGTTCCGCTCGTCCTTAATCGACATCTCCTCCAGCACTTCACTGTACGTCGCCGCCAGAGGCTGCTGAAAATACCTACTTGACCGTCTCAGCGCTCCCCCTGCCGCCGGCAGTATCCCCACTGCGCCTGCGCCCACCTGTTCCTGTCCGCCCACCTGATCCCCGTCGCCTGTCACCCCTCCCCGCCCATGCCGCGCGTTCTCATGGTACCCGAGCGCGTGCAGCGAGGGGAACTTGAGGAAACACGTGGCGCACGCGTACGGCCCGCCCACTGTGCAGGACCCGAGATTCGCGGCGGTGGCGACCGTGGGGCTCAGCAGGCGCAGCATGTCCCCCGCGTTCATCAGCGGACGCGACACGGCGGAGCGCGGGCTCGGCGTGGAGGAGGCGGAGGCGGAAAAGCCCGAGCGGCGGAGCCGGCGGAACTCCGCGGGTCTGGTGGTGGCGGAGTCGTTCCGCGGCGTGCCCGAGGGGGAAGGGGTTGGGGAGGGGATCATTGCGGACACCCGCGCAAGCTGCGTCATGGGGGAGGGATACGCTCCCGCCGCTGCCGCCGCAGCTGAGGGGGAGGCGCAGGAGTCTCCCCCGCCGCCGGGGATGGAAAGCGGCGGTACAGCGAAGAGGTCGATGGTTGGAGCACGCCGTGACCTTGCTACTATGGACGCGACAGACTGAGATCTTTCCACCGCCATGGCGCCGCGATTATAGGAGGCTGCTCTTGCACTACCAGTAGCACTAGCATCCGTCTTATCTCGGACCGCCGTGGCAGCTGCGCCGCCGCCGCGACACGCGGAGTTCAAGCCGCTGCCCGCGGCTGAGGCGAAGGCGCGCGCCCCGCCGCCACCGGCTCTACTAGTAGTGTTAGCAGTAGGCTTGGCGAGAGGGCTGAGGCAGCGGCGCCTGATCGGGCTCTCGGACATTCGGTGTCGCTGCCGATGCTGATGCTGATGTTGGTGAGCTGCCGCCGCGCGAACGGCGTGGATGAGGCCGATTTCCGGCGTCATTCCGACACCGGAGTAACCACCGTGGAACGATCGTTGCGACGGCAGAGATTCCGCGCGGCCCAGGAGAGGTGTCTCCCGCAGGACAGCCGCGGCGGCGTCCCGTTTCCGCTTGTGCGTGGAGACGGGATGATTCACGCAGTCGTCATCGTGGGCGTCGCGGGCGTCGCACGACGGTGCGCGCGACGTCGCCGCGGCACGGGTAATAAATTCGCCGGGTTGGTGGTGAGTGCGGATCGCAGTCGTTTGAGATTCTCCGAGGCGGGTGACGCGGCCGCGTGACGGTTTTTCCTCGCTATCTTCACACCCCGTTCCATCGCCATGATTGCACTGAAAGTGGGGTTTCGTCGGCGCATTTTTTAAACTAGACCTGGAGATGTCTCTATCGGACATGTTTTCCAAGAGGCCGTGGAAGAGGGAGAGACGTGAAGAAACGCAAAGAGGTGATGCCATGATATCACCAGCAAGCCGAGTCCTGCATGGAACCGATGGGTTGGATTTCGAAGTATAGTTGCTAAGGACGGCAGTTGTCGAGCAATATGACGGAGGCCGCCGGGGCGAGAGTTGACAGTGTTGATTGATCTCAGTTCGAAAGTGCACTGTGGAGGGAACTGGCAATGAGAATGTTGGTGGTCAAGAAGATAGGCCTTTTTATGTGCAGCCTGGTGGAACGACCAACATGATGATGAGTGAAAATGGCGTGAAGGAAGGTGGGGCAATACGGGTATTTGTCACACGCTAACCTCCATCACAACGTCGCAACCCTTCAAGAAAGTTTCTCCTCACTAGGCAATTCTCACTAGTGCTGCTTCGCAGGAAGTACGCGCATGCCCATAAAAAAAAATCCAGTTCTGTAGAGTATAACGTCGAGTCGTTCCAGTTCTATGGAGTTGTGTTTTGTTCAGTGCTCATGTTTTGCCAACTCCCTGTTATTTCTATTTCTGGCATACATAACAAAGGGCTGATCTCGTGCAATTTTTGTATCCCTTGTACACGTCATAGGCGAGAGACTTCCAAAACGCGGCTCGGGCAAAGGGAACTATGGAGTTTCCTGAATTATTGGAGTTATGTTTGATATGAACTGTTCATGGTCGGCGGTGTTGGCGTATGCTGCGAGCATCTGTCGCCCGCCATATCGCATGCATGCCAACCCTAGTTTCAATACAAAATATGAAGAATAGGGTCAACCTTAAACATTTGCATTTTTTTTTAATTTGACAAGTTGTGGCTTTGATAAAAATTAGGGCCATAGAGCAAGAACCTCGAAAAAAATACAAAATCATAACAACTCAAACTGCCCAACTTGACCAAGTTGATCAATATATAAAAACCACACCCTAAGCGACTCGAGGTTTGTTTCTCAAATGCTCTCAAGGTTTGTTTCGCAAATGCTCGACATAATATTTGCACACAAATCGAGGTTTGTCTCGCTGTACACGTGGCATTTCTTAAATGGTTGGATTTATGATCCATTAAATCTCTCCTTAATAAAGTGGATCAAGCTCAGCATATTGGTTGAAGAGGTCTGACAGATTGAAGTTTGTTAGAGCTCACTATCCAATTATAGCGGTCGCTCGTACTTGCATAATCAGGACTATAATCCAAAAAGTATAGTTAAAATCTGAATTCGGGGAGTATATGGTAGCTGCTTCTATAGATAAATGAATTATGTTGTAGTTCATAGCATAGATTTTTATTGCAATGAATGCATATGATTCGTATCTGTTTCATTCGTCGCCTCTGCATGCTGTCGTTTGAAGCTCCCAAATGTTTTCGTATGGCTAGTTGTAAGGTTCGTTTCTCTTCCGTCTTGTTTATTCGAGCTCGCGCGCTGAGGATATACAAACTCTTTGCGCTTTCATAGAATTAGATATTAGGATATTAGGGCCCTCTAGTCAGACTTCTACTCTAGTCAACTGGTCAAATTTCAGAATGGTGCATTACTTTGTTTGTTGTATTAGTATGGTTTAGAGCTCTTAGAGCCGCATCTCATTTGACAAGAACCTCAACAAGGCTAGGAATACGCCCTTAAGGATTCTAAATGCAAAGTTGAAAAAAATAGAGAAAAGGTACGCCTAGAGAGTTAATCAAAGAAACCAAAACTTTCAACGTACTCATATGCAACGTCAAGATTTCTGACAAGAGGAACTCGCAGTGTCGAATAAAATACCTCATAAAATATTATGACGTGTCAGCATATCTACCATCCACACTTCGTGCCTAGAAGTATCACGTATATGAGAAACACATCCCGACTCCTAGTGTCCTCTCGTGCTTTGTTATGTTTCTACTAGGTATGCATAAATTCATGTATAATAACCGCCTTATTGAGTGCCAACCAGCAGGACGACGACAGCTCCAAATATATTTGAGTTGTATAATGAACGACCCAAACAAATTGCCGTCCTGTGAAATGCGATGCGGGAGCGTTGTGGCGCAGCGCAAAGAGGATTTGTGATGGAATTGTGAATTCGTGATTGGTTGTGCGAAGTTGGGTTGGGGAAGGAAGGAAATCCGCCATGCCATCATCGCGGGGTGCCTGCTTCCACTTGGTCGAATTGACCAATCATAGACGAGAAAAGTGTAAGCGCGGACGAGCCTCCCAAAGCGTTGACTGGGCTGGGCGGATCTGGGGGCTGTCAATTGCGGGTCGCGTAACGGCAATCCGCCGAGAGCACCTTCTTGGCTCCTCCATTAATAATGCGGACAAACTACTTGTAATGAATAGGCATGGAGCGTGCGAATAAAGCTGAGAACCAGTGTTTGCAAGCGTGGCTTGATTGCAACTCTTTCCACCAAAAGCTTGCATGACTCAAATGAAATCATGATCACATTTGTGTGTCAAGCAATTTCAAGATCGAGTCACCCAAACCCATCTATGAATCGATTGCTCGATGAACAGATACGAGTATATGACACTGTCCATATCTGGCCACAACTCACGACTTTAGCAAATGAAATCAGGAGATAAAGTTTAACATGAAATGTTTTGAACCGCCATCTCCATGTTGGGTACCTTGCGAACGAATAGGCCTTAACGACAACGTCTTACTCGGAGCTTGTCGTGACCTTACCTGATCCAACAGCCCAACAGCAACATTGTCCACCGCCGTTACGACTTTTTAGCCACGCGCTAGAATTGGATTGGATGACCTCCACGTCCTGAAGAAATCATGTAACGACTGGCAACAAAATTCCTCCTGCGACGGTAACGGGAACCATGCGTTTCTTATATATTGTCTGGACCTTCAGCTAAAGAAATGTGACATTTTACAAGTGGGTTCGCATTTCTAGATCAGCAACCTAATTATGAACCCCCTGAAAGTAACACTACATACAGACTATGGGACTTTCTTACAACCTGGCCAAAGTTGCAAGCCGCGACGTTCATACATAGTCCATATGAAATTGGAAGTTGTGCAATTTTACCAAGCTCCTGAAGTTGGGGGAGTCTCCTCTAAAGTTGGATGCGGAGTAGTTATTGAAACATCAAGGCCTGAGAAAGCGTGGCCGTACCATACACATGACAGTCAACAATTCAACACTTCTCCATTTGCACCCATCGTTTGAAGTTCAATCGTCACAATCCAATCATCTG